TTCCTATCGAGAGATGCATATCGCGCACGGTTACTTTTTTCCCAGGTGGGTTAGTGGATGTTTCGGGAAAACCGGACCAGAGCATACCTGAAAAACCGCGGACCCTTCTCGTCTTACTTTTAGTATCGGCATCGCCGCGACGGCCAATCGGCGTCAATCGGCCTCGCAGAAATACAAGATCGTGACGTAACAATGGTGACTGCTCCTTTTGGTAAATCGAGGAAACTCCTTCCGCCCACAATGTATTTGGAGCTGGTATCTCGAGCGGCCATCTCGAATCTTCTCATTCCTCCTTTTCTTTTTCTCACCCGTTTTTCTTCGCGTTGCGTAAAAACGCATTGACAGATCTAAGGAACTCGCGCTGACCTAAGCTGGGATCAAGTTCTATTCTTTTCGATATTCGAACGGCTCGCTGTTCGATCGCGCAACAATCGGGCAGGCCGTTCGGACGAAAGCGAAAGACGAAGCGCGGAATTTTAGCGATTAAATCATACATGTTTTGCACTTGTTTTTATTTTCGTCAAATTAACGGAGCTGTTGTCCTATTTAGATATGAAAACCTTGAATATCGCATTTATTTTTTATATTTATTAGTAAAAAATTTTTATATTATTTTAAAATAAAAAGAACTGTTTTAATAGTTCTAAATATAATAATTTTATATATACATTGTATATATTTTGATTTTTTAGATATCTATATATCGAATTGTCTCGGGTCTGTTGTATTACTTAAAGGGTACGCCGGTAGCTAAGACCAACATCGGTCAGCTTTGGAGAGGGCCGACACTCTGTCGACTGGGATTTTGCATCTCTCGCGACGAGGTAGATAATGATCATCTCACGATCTGTTTGCTGCAAACAGCTCCATTTCTCAAAGATTAAAGGATTAGACGTAAGGAGTACACGCCTCGGCAGCCGACAATAATGGAAGAACAATGTGCGGAGTCCGGTAGCGGAGTGAATGCGGCTGCCTCTTAAGAATGCCATGTTTCCCAAACAAGGATTTGCTGAGAAAGAAAGGTGGCGTCATCGCGGATTACGTGTCCACCTTCGTCGTCCAGGGCTGTCGCTCCTGCGAATCTATCGGCATCACGAGTATATTCCAGTAGCCGGACAGGAAGGGATTGTCACGATCCTTAATACTTCTTACTGTCATCGTAATGCGGTCCTAATGACGCAGGGTCGGACGCCGCCCACGAATGCTGGCAATTCACCTACGCGTAATTTTACGACTGGACCGTGTCGGCACTCCTTTGTCGCGCCAATACCGAAGTATAAAATGGGATTTTGTGACGAATTCCTTGCTCTTTGGGCACAGGTCTATTATATACCTTCTTTCTCTAACATGCAATTTTTTCCATCATACTTATATTCAACATTAATAACACTCGCAACTGTTATAGATACGTAATATAGATGGATAAATAATGCGAACGTCATTATCCTTAATTTATTAATTGCTAATCGTTAATTAGCATTGTCGTGTTTGTTCGTAAATGCATATTTGAGGATTAAATACACGAAAATTAGATAAATAATTCAACATGTTTCTGTTGCGTCGATGACTGGCTTCTGCGACAATCTATTTTCGGACCGCAGGTGGTTTCACGGACGAGCGGAATCACATGTTGGATTCGTCCTCTGTGCCGCAAGTGTCGGGAGGAGTAACCCTTCGATCGTCAATCACCCGACGATCGTTGTGAACTTCCTGAAAGCGATAGGGAGAGCACGGGCTGGGAATCTGTTTTACACGACGAAACATCAATTAAGCGTTCATTATAATACGTAATTAGCTTTTTCTCGGGATTTTTTCTTACGCGATCTAAAGCACCGCTCATTGAAATCACAACAATTAATCTTCTTTAAGTCAGTATAAGAGTGATTTCTAAACATATGGCATTGCTTCGAAATCTCAAGTAATTTGCCTCAGAAACTAAAAAAAAAAATTGTATGATAAAGTGTAATGTGAAAAGCGTATATACAGTAATTTAATTACTTAAACAACAATGTTGTATCGCGGTTCTATCCGTGTGATTTAATCATTTGTGGGGGAACGTAGCGAGCAGCTTGTCGTTACGAAACTCTATGTAATCTGACGCCGAGTTCTTCCCAGTCTAAATATCTCGCCCTTCCGAATTACGATGGCGTTTGTAGGCGGAAGTCCGGCGAGCGACCAAGGGATCGAGTGGTCAATATCAAGACCTAGTCCTAGCTTAAGAACAACATATCGTGAAAGCCCACACGATCGAGAGATCTTTCCCACACTCTCTTTCTTGTGAAAGTTCGTTACGATTTCCCACACGTGCACCGGTTCGTCAAAAAAAATATTGTTTGCGATTTCGTACGAGTCAGCGCGATAATTATACCTCAAAATAACGTTATCGCATCGCGTTGTAATTAACCTTTCATGTACATCTCAATATATTGCATGATAAACAGCCATGGATTTGATATCTAAATCGTACGATTGATTGCCAAAATCGCGCACAAACACATACACTTTGAAATCATTTACGTATGTATTTGTTACCCGGCGATCAAAGTGCGTGGCGTTCGAGTGATAATTAATACGATAAATGAATTTTGTGTATATGAATTTAATAAATAGAATAATGTCACGCTGCATACGGTATATTATTCATAAAATTTCAATAAGAAAATAAAATAAATTGTTATATAACATTGATTATTCTATACATAGAGAATGCACATCTCTTTTGGAACATGTAGCTTCTCTCTAGGGTTTGCCCTGTGATTACCATAAATATTATCTTGGCACGAGTAATCCATACGATATGGCATTGAAAAAGTAAGTTAAAAATACGTGAAACGGGAAGACTGGGATAACTACGAGGGAATGTCTTCATTTTTCTCGGACGCGTGTCGCGTACGTGTTACGAGTGTTGCAATCGCGCGTAGTTGTCGATGAATGTTTACAATATATAAAATAAATGGAAAAAAAGAGTACTTGTTCTCTTTAAATTAATTATTCAGATTAACAACTTTCAACAATAGCAATTTTTATTTCTGTCGTCCCCAGAATATTTTATTTAAAATCTTGACGTATGAATATGTTTAAAAAGAGGATTCGAAGGATACTTTTCATATCAAATAATATTATACTCAAAAGAGATGTCTATTGCATAATCAATTCTTTCTTATAAAAATCTGACCACAAAAAGTATTTGTATCGACTTTTATCATTCTTATCGATCAATCAAATTGTATCACAAAATATTCGACTCCATGTTCGATCCCGGCCGTCTTATGTTCACCGAGATCAGGTACAGATAGCACAGGATTGACACATCAGGACACAACCGCAATGGCGTCAGTCAGCCATTGCACGTGCGATAATCTCGCTCACGTTACCCTTCATGTAACTCTCACCCCCCGATGTGCTCATGTGGGGGTTCTCTCTCCACGACCCTCTCTCTCTCTCTCTTCCCTTACCGGGAACCCTAAACCCTGGGATCTTGACCGGTCAGCGGTGGATAAAAGCTTTTTCCTTCAGCAGCTGTTAAACCGGTGACCTCCGCAGTTGCGTGCTCCCGAAACTCACAATGTCCGCACCGTATATCTCGATGGTTGCGACGGTACGTATTAAAAAAAAAGTACGTTGCCCACTGACCCACTGGACCAAAGTTAGCGCAGTGACCGATTAGTTGCGTGGTTTTTGTAGTTCATACAGCAATTTCGGAATGAAAGATCGGACAGATGTAGCTATCTTTAAATTGTGCATTACGTTATAATCTGATCGGATAATAACCGAAAGATCGAAGACCGTCTGCTGTCGCAATTTGTGTTTTCAAATAATTTGACATTCGATATACGATAAAAAACGCTAGAATACCTTTAGAAATGTCATTCAAAAAAAACCAGATTATTATTGATAAATCTTCTGTTCCAGTTTTGATATTTTAAAATAAAGCATATAATACTTGTAAATATAAAAATTGATTAAATCTTGTAAATTTATATATATAAATATTCATCAATTATATTATAAAACTTAATAAAAGCTTTATGCAAATTCAGATATTGCGTATTTAATAATAGAAAATTATATAAATTGATGAAATCTTCGTGCAAATTCTTATAGATAAGTTGAAGTGTAATTAGGATAAGCAGCTCTTCCTATCGCGAAGTGCATCATGAGGAAAATTTTCGCGCATAACGAGGATCGCTGGTGCAGTTGCTGGACTGCAATCCGCAATTGCCCGACGAAGTTTTAATTTGAGTTCAACGATATTTTCTCAGGCGTAATTCCTGCTTGAAGCTCCTCCTCGCACGAGTAAGGCCGGTCGAAAGTACCATTACATCCAAGTTCGGGTGTAACCACTTAAATCTTTGACGAAGTTAAACAACGTTAAGTACAACGCGGGGAATACCTTGGCGAGATGCGCGCGCGTAAACTCAATAAACGCGGAATATCCGAGCGAGATAAGCGATCTCGAACAGATCTCGCTGGGGTGCGTAAGTCATCCGTTGTCATTATCTTTGTTGTTTTTTCATTAAATTCTTATCAAATTCAGCCTGAGTGCTCCTTTCATAAAAATAGTAATCAACTGTACGTATATAAAGAGAGAGTCTCGAAAATATTGCACAAACTTAATACTACGATCTTGTTTGCGAAAAATCGAAACACTTCTGCTATGTTGACTTAATTATTTATTTTTAATTTAGATATCTCAACGAAAAATTTCTAACTTTACTGAGATGAATATATCTCTTAAAATTTTCATATAGAAGCTTACAGAGATATATACATGTTCTTTTTTCAACTGTATTAATTATTCTCGAAAGAAATACACCTAGAAATCGTAAAAGTGTAATGTTCTGATCGTTATCTGAATTAACGCTGCGTGATATTCGATGCGTATATGTAGGTCACGGGCTTCCGGCTTCTAGGTATTCAATTTAATTTGCATAGATCGTATCCTGTTAAGTCGGTTATGTAACTATTTATATATGTAATCATCACGCGCATTAACTAAATCACTTTTTGCATATTGTATTGATATTTTATATGTATTATTCGTATGCAAAAGAAAAATAGCGTTAATTGTATGAAAAGTTTTGATTAAAGTCAGTTAAAAAAATCGTGAGTTGAGGTAAAATTGTTACTTAAATTTGCGTGAATACGAGCGTTCATAATACCGGCATGATAACGCTTTCATATTCAGGATAGTAAACGGATAAGTAAACTCTGAAGAAGACACGAGACCGTATCCAGGGCAACCGGACCCTATCTCATCCTCCGCGGTCCTGAGAGCGTTTCTGGATGTCTTCTTAAGTTGCCGGAACAAACTTCGACTCGGTAGAACAACGTGTAATGCCCAGAGGGAAGCGAGAGCACTGTCGAAAGAAAAAACAGGCGAAGAAGAAATTTACTTACAGCATAGGATTACTGTTCCGCCCCGGGTCATCTTCCGCGCCTCTAGTAACGAGTAATTTAACTCGTCCCTCTTCCTCTCTCTATCTCGCTCTCTCTCTACTCTCTTTCGTGTCCAAAGGCGCTGATGATCCTTCTGTTTCTCTTAATTAATACAGAGAACACGATTTAATTTCTCGGTAAATTAAATTCCTGTAGCACCTGCAATAACACAAAATAATAAGATTTAATTAAAGAGTAGAAAATAAACTAAGTTAAAAGTATGACCTAAGAAGAGTTAATATTTTGCACGTAAAAATTAAAAGCTACACTTGAAAATTTATGTTAACAGTTATGTTAACAAGCATTTCTTATCGACACCAATTGATCGATTTCTATCGCGATGAGATGTTTATCAAACTCCTTCGCTTTCCGTTCATTCCTTTCAATCGTCGAGATTTCGAATCGCGTAATGTTCTCGCAATTTTCCGGAAACTTCAAAGAAGGTATCGTAAAGCCGTAGCGAAGATTACAATGAACGATCGTTATGCGTATTCAAAAATCATTCTACCTAACCCGGTAGGGTGTAGCTAGGAATCCATTGTTGATCCTTCGCTTTCTCGAAAAACGTAGCCGATTGTGCAAGCCAGGCTCATATGTAAGGCGGATGTTGATGGATTTACGCGCGACCCTCCCTCTTGCTGATTCTGCGGGGATATTAGATTCAAAACTATTCAAAAAATTTCGAGCAGTTGCGCGCTCGCATTATCGCTATCGTGGATTTTTAAGTTTAACAGGTGACTGCCTCACAGATTGTTGCATCAATATCTTTCATTTTTTAAGTTCTTTTAACATTTAGAATTACTTTCAATAAAGTAAACTTTTTCCTCTCCGCATAATGTATTTCTCTTATTTATTTACGCATTTGCAGTAAATTTAGCCAACAATCTCATGTCAGACCCTGATCAACACAGGCGAGGAAATAAAAAGGAAAGTTCCGCCCAGATCGTATATGTTATGCCCCATTTTCGTCTTTTTTTCTTTTTTGTGGTTTTCACAGAACCGTAGGATGTAACATCGACTGTCCGCATCAGAAGCACACATAACAAAACCGATGACTGATGATGCGAGCACCCTCTCCCTAGTGCGAACTTTTGTTTATTCGCATCTTCGTCTCCATCGATCAATGGCCACGGGCTTTCCATGAAGACGTAAGAAACCGTAGAAAGGGACACTATAATGTTCCTACGAAATATCGCGGTTGAGTAGTCCATCGTAAATACTCACTTATCGATAGACGTATTATTGCTTCCAGCGACAGTCGATATTCAATTGCGCTTATTTCAAACATTGCTCTCGTTGCGACACAAGAGAAAAATCGATCTAAAATTACAAGCAATAAATAGAGTATTATATTATCTTTCCTTTGTTATGAATTTAGATTTCTGAAGTTTAAATCGCAATAATTCAATACTGTATTAATATTCACTTTTGAATATTTTTGTACTTGAGTTTTCCAAGTTCTTTAAAAAAATGTAGATTTTTTACGGGGAATTTAATTGCGCGAAATTAAAAACATCTTTTATAAGAGTTCAACATTTGTCATCGAGCTGAGAAGAAACGGCACGAAGAATGGGACTTTATCGCGAGTCACCATTTTCATCTAAGGAGCAAACAACTGCAGAAAAGAGCCGGTTGAAGAGAATGGAGAAGTGCAGCCGTGGCCGTCCATTCGAACGCGACGATGGTGAACCGGAAGGTCGCCCGTTTAGTACGAAGGGCGTCTGTACGTTGGTTCAGCCGCTGCACAGAACGATTTATTGATTAGTACGGCCAGCCAATGGCGCATTGGTCAGTTGCACGAAGGCTCCCCAGATACAACCCCAGCGCGCAAAGAGCCGAGGGGGTTGAGTCAGGGAGAGGGTTGCAGCCCCCATGGCATCATCCGTAGGTCCGGGGAGAGATGTTGTAGCTTATCTCATTCTCGGAAATTATGGTGGAACGATGAAGGGCGTCGGGCGGCCGTGTTCTGCCTCAGCGGCCATTGCTCTAGCCTCTCTAGATCCTCGACGAAAGGCTAATATTCCTTTTGATCATACGAAAGGAGTCGAGAGATCTGCGGTTCACTGCCGGAATTAAGACGCAAATTTCGGTCCGCTAATATTTTTCTATGACGCGCCAATTTGTTTGATGACACGTGAAATGAGATCTTGAGATCTTTTTACAAAGAACACGCGAATTAAAAAACTAATTGGTTAATCATTTAAATATATATATATATCTTTTTTTTTATCTATTTAAAAAGTAATTTTTTTTAAACTTTTCCATGTTGATTTACTATAAAAATCTAGTCAGAGCAAAACGGCAACGCCGGCACTTTTGAACGTGAAAGATTAAGCAGTCAAAGGCTTTTAAGCCCACGCGCGGAACCGTTATCAATTATTCAAGATCAAGCTACCAATCTTAGATCCCGCCCTCGCATCGCGCGCCGCGCACCGTTGCAACTTTCTTTCTAAAATCCTCTCATGTAGACTCTCTGATTCATCTTCTGTAGTTACCTCTGCCTTAACTCGAGAGCCGCGACATAATTAGGCCCACAGCATCAAGTATTTATTCTTTCATTAGCCTCTTCTCGTAGGAAGCTACAAGAGGGTCGAGAGATGAGACGATGTCATCCAAGCGTAATTGGATCAACTTCAAACTTTGCCCGCTCTCTCGCTACTGTAGCGGAGTTGCAATTATTATTGCAAATTCCATACGCCCACTCGTACTTCATAAACTTAATTTCGTTCCGTTAGCCATTCATCAGACGAACTTTTAATACCAAATCTGTTTTAATTTAAAATTTTTTAAATTGCACAATTATAACTATAATCATTATTTGTATCAAACTCTTGCAAGCATAATTTTGCAATCGATAGCAATAACTCGAATAATTTTTACTCAACGAGTTCTAATTAATTATCTGTTCTCCTCTGATAAGGCGCGATTACACTATAACATTGTTTTGCGTTTTGATTGAATGATGGAAATTACACGGAGAGAGCTTTTACCGTAAAAGAATTATAAAATACAGATAATGTAAAGTTCAAGAAATCAACTATATTTACTATTTTCAGATTCATCAAAATCAGGTACATACGGACACGCTTTAGCGCAGCGAGAGAAGATCGCGAAAAAAAAAATTAATCCAAAACAGCACGCGTCCACTGCAAGCAGAGCAAGATGCTCATCGAAGCGTAGTCCAGACTGCATCTGCCGCCAATATCCCTTCGACCTTTCACAAAAAAGGAGTCGCGCCTAAGTCGATTTAAATTATTCAACCAAATTTTTTTTACGTCATTCTTCTCCTTTCTTGCAGCGAAACTGCAGCCGTTTTTCGGCACGTGTGCCGAGAGCATTCGGTCATTTTTATCGTTTTTCAGATGATAGATCTTCAATGAATTTTTTTCTGTTTAGTGAAGCGTACATCCTGTGACATGTTTCGCAAAGTTTCATCTGCGATAAACAATCCAGATTCGAAAAACTTTAATTGCGAAATATAACAGTTTGACATATATGATAATTCCGTAACGTAAAATCGTTAAGATTTCAGAATATTAGAGAGGCGATAACTTAATATTTTCATCATGCTTAGAATATAACATAAATTCATTATGAAGTCTTTCATAATTTAATGCGCAGATGATAGAGAAGGAATATCCTATATATTCATATTAAGATGGATTTCTTGTAAAACTTTTGTTGGACTTAGAGAAAATGTCGCCACGCGCATAAATCAAATTAACTATGTAAAAGTCCACATTTGGGTCCATTCGGTGACAGTTATTAAAAAGAATGAACCCCTTGAACAGATGCTTCCTTCTACCGTGGAAATCATGCCGCGACCATTTGATTTATACATCAGCCGCATGGGTGGGCCTTCAGACTTTTCGGTAGCTAGGAGGAAAACTCTTTAATAGTTTCACGCGTGCGCCGAACCCATTATCGGGATCCGGTAGAACTGAGAGAGCCGAATCTCCAAAAAGCGGCATTGCCTTCGAAGCTCATTAAAAACGATTTCACGTCGTCTAACGGATTATTTACGGCGACTTGCGGCGAAGTCTCTCTCATTTTCTCTCATATCCTGTTTTTTTGATACAATCAAAATATATCCATATTTTCAATTTCAGAATTTTCGTCACATCAAAGATATTGAAGCGATCCAGTTCCATTTAAACGTAATCCATTTGCCGTGAAAAATAGTGCTTGATATAAGCTTATTTCTACGATTTCATTCATGCGATATTTCACGCTTGGACAAATCGTTGGAAGAGAAATAATTTGTATATCGAGACACTGTCGACGAGAAAGACGAGCGGGAGTAGCTTTATACGTTGCGACGGATATATCCAGTACGGAGTCAGTTGCTCGTGATAAACTACCGACAAGGATCGAAGCTATAACGCTCTCGTAAACATCCTCCCATCCCTGCCGTCTTCTCCTCCGACGATATCGTCTTTTCCTTTTCACGGCACTTACACCGCGACGTGGCTGACAGCAACAGGCGGCACATGTCTCTTTTATCCTCTTTCACCTCCGATCGTTGATACTCGCCTTCGCAGTTCCCCGCTCAGTTGCAAGTGAAAACGCGGTGAAATCACGCGCGCGGACGCCCCCACGTTTTATACACGCAATTTGCGTTCCGCGTTGCATTATTTTCAGATCTTCGATAAATAACATTTATCTACAATATTTTTTCACACGAGAGAATTGCTTTTGCAATAAAATAGTGAAAGATCGAGAATTTCCTGTAATTTTGTTAAATTAAAACTGGCACGTCGAATATAGAAGTTCGCGTGGTCTTATTCGCACGAAGTCTACGTTAGCACAAAGTATATCTGGAAAACAAGCCATTAAATTTAATTAATTAAATGTTCCACGTATCCATACGAAATTAATTACAGGAGCACGTGGATTTATTGTCCCGCCCCGAGAACAGCTGTGTTTCGCGATCGCGCCCGAGTAAATTGAGGACTCGCGTAATTATACGTTTCGCCGAAGATAGCATGATGAAAGAGCGCAATGGGAAACATTCTTGTCTCATGATAACAGCTTAGACTGCAAAAACTCAATTGGCTTTACGTGCCGTTTATCTTTTGAATGTTTCAATAAAGTAAACTATTATACATTTTTTAAATTACATTGCAACTTGCGGTTTCGACCAAAAAGTTTCCCTGCTT